ACCCAGGCTTTCGTGGCCCCGCTGCAGTGGCCCCCTCGTTGCCCTCTTCGTGGCCCCGTTGCAGCCCCTCGTGGCCTCCTCGCTGCCATTCGTGGCCCCCTCGCTTTGTTTCGTGGCCCCGTTGCAGCCCTTCGTGGCCCCCTCGCTGCCCTTCGCGGCCCCATCGCAGCCCTTTGTGGCCCCGTTGTGGCCCTTCGTGGCCCCCTCGCTGCCCTTCGTGGCCCCGTTGCGGCACTTCATGGCCCCCTCGCTGCCGTTCGTGGCCCCATATATGTATGCCCTTCGTGGCCTCCGCTCGTTCGCGCCCGTGGTTGTCCCATATGCATGCCCTTCGTGGCCCCCTCGCTACCCTTCGCGGCCCCGTTGCTGCCCTCAGTGGCCCCGTTCATGCCCTCCGCGGCCCAATATACGTATGCCCTTCGTGGCCCCCGCTCGTTCGCGCCAGTTTTGGCCCCATGTGCCTGCCCTGCGTGGCCCCGCTGTCGCCGTGTGTGGCCCCCTCACTGTCCTACGTGGCCCAATTGCTACCTTCAGTGGCCCCATCGTTGCCTTCTGTGGCCTCGAATTATCTGCCTTTCGTGGCCCCCGCTCGTTCGCGCTCTTCGTGGCCCCATACGCATTCCCTTCGTGTCCCCGCTGTCGCCCTTCGTGGCCTACTTCGTGTCCTTCGTGGCCCTGCTGTCGTTCTCTCTCGCTCTCGCTTTCGCTCGTCGTCGTCGTCGCCGTCGTCGTCGTCGTTCTCGCCGACGCCGTCGACGTCGTCGTCGTCCTCGTCGTGGTCGGTCCCCTGTCCGTCCCTCTGGGGGTCGGGTCGACGGTCCGTGGCCGCCCCGCCGATCAGCGCTGCCGCTGGCCAGGCCGGCGGTCCGCGGCCGCCCCGCCGCTTGCCGGGGCCCGGCCTGCAGGGAAGAAAGGTATACCCCCCAAAAGGGGTTCGATCGAAGACGGAGAGGGCGTGTATCGAGGGTTTGGGAAATACGCGTTATTGGACACTCGAGCAGATAAGGGCGAACAGTCTTAAATTGATTGTTGTTGTTGTTGTTGTTGTTGTTGTTGTTGTTGTTGTTGTTGTTGTTGTTGTTGTTGTTGTGTTTGTTGTTTTGAAGAAGAATTATTGTTGCCCCCCCTTCAGGTGCGCATTGTTTTTTCAACTGAAGTGCCCCTCCCGGCGCTCGCACCCGGCTTTTTATCAGGGAGTGACTTTCTCTTCAAATTGTGCCCCTGGCCCCCGGTTTACATCAACAGCGGCTCCCGCTTGATGTTTTCTCGGAATTTACTCCGGTCCCCCGCTCCCGCTTGAGATTTCCGCGCAATTTAGTCAAGAATTGCGCCCCCGCCTGAGACTTCCTTGCAATTTACTCAGGCGCCGCGTTCTTGCCATTCAGGAATCGCTCGTTCGCTTGGGACTTTTTCGAATTTACTTAGGAATCGATCTCTCGCTGGAAAATCCTTGGGTAATCACGCGGAACTCGCGATCGATCCGCCCGCTTGTCCCGCCCGTCAGGGTCGTGCACCATGCTCGGTTGCGCCCTTTTTACCTCATTGCTGCCTTTCGTGGCCCGTCCCCTTGTGGCCCAGTCGCTGCCCTTCGTGGCCCAGCTGCTGCCCTCAGTGGCTCCTCGCTGCCCCTTTTGGCCCATGATACGCACTTCGTGGTCCCCAGTCGCTCGTGCCCTCAGTGGCCCCATTGCTGCCCTTCGTGGCCTCGCTGCTGCCCTCAGTGGCCCCCCGTTGCCATGTGTGGTCCATATATACGCCCTTCGTGGCCCCCAGTCGCTCGTACCCTCAGTGGCCCCATTGCTGCCTTTCGTTGCCCTGGCGTAAGCCTTTTGTGGCCCATACATACGCCCGTCGTGGCCTCCAGTCGCTTGTGCCCTCAGTGGCCCCATTGCTGCCCTTCGTGGCCCAGCTGCTGCCCTCAGTGGCCCCCTCGCTGCCTTTTGTGGCCCATCTATGTACGCCCTTTGTGGCCCCCAGGCGCTCGTGCCCCCAGTGGCCCCATTTCTGCCCTTCGTGGCGCCGCTGTTGCCCTCAGTGGCCCCCTCATTGCTCTGTGTGGCCCATACGTTCGCCCTTCGTGGCCACCAGTCGCTCGTCCCTTCCGTGGCCCCATTGCTGCCCTTCGTGTCCCCAGCGTAGCTCCTTGTGCCCCCCCCCGCTGCCCAATGTGGCCCCCTCGTTGCCCTATGTGGCCCATATGTTCGCCCTTCGTGGTCACTAGTCGCTCGTGCCCTCAATGGCCCCGTTGCTGCCCGTCGTGGCCCCAGCGTAGCTCCTGGTGCCCCCCCCTCCCGCTGCCCATTGTGGCCCCGCTGTTACCCTCAGTGGCCCAGACGGTGCCCTTCGTGGCCCCCCGTCGCTTGCGCGCTCAGTGGCCCCGTGGCTGCCCTTCGTGGCCCCAGCGTAGCCCCTCGTGGCCCCCTTGCTGCCCTCTGTGGCCTCGTCAATGTCCTCAGTGGCGCCATTGCTGCCCTTCGTGGCCCCGCTGCTGCTCTCAGTGGCCCACATCGCTGCCCATTGTTGCCCCGTTGGTGCCCTTGGTGGCCCATGTATACGCCCTTCGTGGCCCCCGCTCGCTCGTGCCCTCAGTGGCCCCATTGCTGCCCTTCGTGGCCGCGCTGCTGCCCTTCAGTGGCCCCATTACCGCTTCTCTCGTCCGCAGTTCTGCCCCCTCCCTCTTGTCCCTTGCCTTCCTCCCTCCACCCACTCCTTTCCTTTTTGTTTTTTTTTGTTTTTCTCTCTCTCTCTCTCGCTCTCTCTGTCCCCCCCTCTCTCTCTCCCTCTCTCTTTTCGTCGCTTTCTTTCTTTCTTTCTTTCTCTCTCTCTCTCTCTCTTTCTCTTTCTCCCTCTCTCTCTCTCCTCCCCCTCTCATTTCTCATTCCTCTTGCTCTTCTAGGGGCTGCACCCAATACACGTGGCAGGTCATGAATATGTGCCCCCCAGAGGGGGTACGACCCAAAAAGACGAGGGCGGGTATCGGGGGTTCGGGATATACGTGGTGAGGTACGCGCGAGCGAACAGTCTTAAACTGTTTGTTGTTGTTATCATTGTTTTCGTTGTCGTCGTTGCTATCGGGGTATGTATAACATATTAAAGCACAAATATCACAGTGTTTTGCTGTTGTTGTGGTCGTTGTTGTTATTGTTATGGTTGTTGTTGTTTCTGTGGTTGTTATAGTTGTTGCTGTTGTTGTTGTTGCGTTCACATTTTTGAAGAATAGTTATTGTTGGTCCACCCACGAGTGCACACTTATTTTTTCAATTGCAATGCCCCTCTCGGGGTTCGCACCCTTTTTAACAGGGAAGGTCTTCGTGCTAAAACCGGGCCCTTCGCCCTCTGGCTGCAAACACAACGGCTTCCGTTATATATTTCCTCACATTATACTCCAACATCGCACTTTCGCGCGGGATTTCCTCACAATGTATACAGGAGTCGCGCTCTCGCGTGGGACCCCCTTGCAATTTGTTCAGAATCCGCGCCCTCGACACTCAGGAATTACGCTTTCGCTTTGGCTTTTATCTAGGTTTACTTGGGAGTCGCGCCGTCGCTCGAGACTTCCTCGCGATTTATGTAGTACTCACGCTTCAGCAACCCGTCTGCTCGACCTGGCCGCCTAGGCCCGCCTTCCCGACCCGCCCGCTAGGGTCTGCCCGCCCAATCTGCCCGTTTGGTTCTGCCACGTGTTTTCTGCCCCTAGCTCCCCTATTGCTAATTTCTCGTCCTTCATGCTTCTTCATCCCTCTTCGGGCATCGTTTTTTTGTTTGTTTCTCCCGTTCGTTTTTTTCTTTTTTGTTCTCCCGTTCGCTTCCGCCTGTGCCGTTTTGCCCTCTTCTTCTCCGTTCGACCGCCCCACTTTGTTGTTGTTGTTGTTGTTGTTGTTGTTGTTGTTGTTGTGTTTGTTGTTGTTGTGGTTGTTGTGGTGGTTGTTGTTGTGGTTGTTGTCGTCGTCGTCGTCGTCGTTGCTGTTGTTGCTGCTGTTGTTGTTGTCGTTGTTGTCGTTGTTGTTGTTGTTGTGGTTGCTGTTGTTGCTGTTGTTGTTGTTGCTGCTGTTGCTGTTGCTGTTGTTGCTGTTGTTGTAATTGATGTTGTTGTTGATGTTGTTGTTGTTGTTGTGGTTGTTGTTGTTATAGTTGTTGTTGTTGTTGTTGTTGTTGTTGTTGTTGTTGTTGTTGTTGTTGTTGTCGTTGTTGTCGTTGTTGTTGTTGTTGTTGTTGTTGTTGTTGTTGTTGTTGTTGTTGTTGTTGTTGTTGTTGTTGTCGTTGTTGTTGTTGTTGTTGTTGTTGTTGTTGTTGTTGTTGTTGTTGTTGTTGTTGTTGTTGTTGTTGTTTGTTTTTTTCTCGTTCGGCCGTTGCGCGGCCCTTGCGAGGCCTGGGAGGCCCAGGAGGAAGCCCCCTGGCAGGCCCCTGGGAGGCCCCTTCGAGGCCCTTTTCCAAGGCTCGTGGGAGTCCCGCCAGGGACGCGGGCTCCGGAGGCGCCAGGTGGTGGATTTTGTACACAGGCGGACTTCGCGGGGCTTGCCCCATGGAGTTCTGCATTTTGCCCTCGTACCTTTTTTTTCCCGCACGGCCGCTCCGCTGGGGGAAGAGGGCGTGGGGGAGAGGGAATGGACCGTGGTATTGGCGTGGCTGCGTGCTGTTGTTTGTGGCCGTGGTGGTTGTCTGGCTGCTGCTGTTGATACTGCTCACAGGCCTCCCATTACTCGTCTTTGCTCCTGCGTCATATAATTCATCAATGGGTCTGCCAGCCTGTCAGGCTGGCAGGGCTGCTGCCTGTCTCTCTGTCTGCCAGGCGTCCAGCCACTTTGGTTAATCTTTCTGTCCATGCCATGTGTATATTTGCCTGTCCGTCGGTCTGTCTGTCTGGCTGCCGCTTGGCTGCAACGTCCACCTCTTGCTTGCGCGCTGTGGAAGGTCCTCCGTCGTCCACCTCCTCCTGCACCTCCTCCCCCACCCCGCTCCCCCCTGGTCTTCGTCGTCCTCCTTGCGGTCCCTGCCGCTAGACGCTGGCTGCTGTGTGGAGGGCGCTGGACCTGTACGCTGCGGACTGCCTGGAGCGCCAGCGAGGGCTTAGGCGGAGACGCGGCATGTAGCGAAGAGAGTGTTTCCGAGCCCCGTTGTCCAATTCTGATTGCTTTCTCTCTTCCCTCTCGCCCCTGTGTTCCCCCTGCTTCCCCCTCTTCCCCCTCTTCCCTTCCGTTACCTCTTTCCCCCCGTCCCACTGTGCCTCCTCCTGCTCCCTCTTTCCCTTCCTTCTTCTGTTCTTTGTGTGCCTTCCCCCCCCCCTTCTGTCTCTGTCTCTGCCTCTCCCTATGTGTCTGCCACTCCCTGAGTACACCCACAGCCCTGGGGCGCGGGTCTGCAGCCCAGCAGCCCCCTCCCCTGGCCAGGGAGAAGGGACGCACTGCCTGCAGGGGTCTCGCCCTCCCTTCCTCTCTCCTGCTCCCTCTCCCCTCCTGCCTGCCCCTCCTCCCGTCCCCTCCCCCCTCTCCCCTCTCCCCCTCTCCTCCCTTCTCGCCTGTTCACCTCCCCTCTTCCCTCCCTATTCGGTTACTCCACTCCTCTCACTTGCTCCGTCCTCGGCCCTGTCGCCCGCCGAGGGGCAGTTCGCTACACAGGACTCACAGGGACCATTGGCCGCCTACGGTCCGATCCGATGCGCTCCGCTTCGCCAGCTGGGCCCGCGATTCCGATCCGATTCGATTGGAATCGACTCACCGGTATCGGCCAGGCCCAGCAGGAGCCGGGCGTTGCGATCCGATGTCGATCCGAGTCGGGACGACCGCTGACGATACGGTGGGGGCGTTCATTCAGAATGTGCCCAGGAGTGTTCAGACTTCGGAGTGTGCTTCATCTGATGAGGGCGGTGGTGATCTCCATGGCTAAGCCTGACTCGATGTTACACTGGTTACCTGGCGGCTTCCTGGCCCTGGATCCCTTACCTAAGGATTCCTTACAGTACCTAAGGGTTCCGCTTCCGGTCTGATCCGATTTCGCGGTTCGCTTCAGCTCAGGTAGTGCCCGAGGACACTCCACCTCGTGCCTCGGGGCACGGCGGCGGGTGTGTTTTACCCTTCGCATATGGCGAGCTTTTCTTTGTTGAGCGGTGACCCCGCTGGGTTTCGGGGGCCTTCGGCTGCCTCTTGGGCTTCCCCCGCCCCTTCTCTTGCCTTGCCTCTCCCGTCCTCTGGAGGATCGAGGTTGAGGATTCGGTTCGAAGTTATACGACCGACGCAGCATTTTATGCTGTCGAGTGGTACAAACGGAAAGGCGCGCGCGGCTGTGTGCGCCCTCTTCGTCGTCGTCGTCTCCTCAGTCTCTTGCGACGGTTAAACTATAGTTACTCATCAAGGAACTCGGCCGCCTTCAGAGGCGAACCGAGACCTCCTAAACGAAGGGTTTGTTCGGCTCTACGGCCGTTCTGTTCCCCAATCCAGGTTACCCGCCGAAGCAGCGCAAGTGCTGCTACTGGCGCGAAGTGCCAGGTGAACCAGGTGAACTAGAAGCACACCTCGAAACCACCATCTCCGACGAATCCTTTGGGTCGGAGGCGTCGAGACCAGCAGCTGCGAAGTCGCAACCAGTAGGGTGCGGGCAGGTCGTGCCAATAGACCGTTCTTCGGGTAAGGGTCAAATATCCCGCCTCGCCCCCGTGATCGGGCTATTGCGGAGGGGAGGCATGACGCTGATACGGCGGGGGGACCTGACGCTGTTGTGGCGGGGAGGCCTGACGCTGTTGCGGCGGTGGGACCTGACGCGGGCATGGCGAGATGTCGTATGTGATCAAAGGAGAGGTCTGCTCCGTACCTAGCTATCGCTAGGTAGGATTACGAAGCTCGGGTAGCGAAGGCACCCGAGAGCACCAGGGCACCCTTTCCATTTGATCAGACGCAAGAAGTACCGTCACGACTGGTCGAACAGCAGTTGTCTAGGCAACAGGCGGGGCTGAGTGGATGGTCCAACACAGCCGCCGTTGAGAAATCACTATCAGTTTAAGCAGCTGATCTGCTTCAGACACTTAGCGAGCAAATGGCCGACACGCACGTGGAGGTATTGTCTGAGCAACGTCGAACGTTGAAGCAGCACCACGAGGCGACCTTCAACAGGTTCTGAGCAACCCTCTCAGTGTTCGTATGCGCATCTCAAATTCATAGCACTCAGAGTTTGGACCCTCGGGCTCGTGAGCTACTGGGTCATCTGGCCGCTGCTACCATACAGGCGCGCCAAGTTGACAAGATAATAACTGAACAGGGAGCCAACCACATTCTGGAGCGATTCAGTAACCCCTAAGGGTCTGTTGTTTTGGTCCCCCTCCCACTTTTTCACTCGGCGGTGAAAAGGACCAGTCCAGAAACCTCCTCCTCCTCGTTTTCCTCCTCCTCCTCCGTTTGCTCCTCCTCTTTCTCCTCCTCTCCCTTTTCCCCATCCTCCTTCTACTCCTCCTGTTTCTCCTCCTCCTCCTCCTGCTACTCCCCCTCCTCGTCCTCTCCCCGCTCTTCCTCGTATCATTCCTAATCAGGGCGGAGGGGGGGGGGCGGAGCAGGAGGATGAGGAAACGCAGGATGAAAAAGGGGGATGAGGAGAGGAGGAGGAACGGAGGAGGAGGAGGAGGAAGAGGAGGAGGAGGAGGAGGAGGAGGAGGAACGGAGGAGGAGGAGGAGGAGGAGGAGGAGGAGGAGGAGGAGGAGGAGGTGGAGGCGGAGGCGGAGGCGGAGGAGGAGGAGGAGGAGGAGAGGAGGAGGACGAGGAGGAGGGAGGAGGGAGGAGGGGGGGAGGGAGGGGAGGGAGGGAGGAGGGAGGAGGGAGGAGGAAGGAAGGAGGAGGAGGAGGAGGAGGAGGAAGAGGAGGAGGAGGAGGATGATGAGGAGGAGACGGAGGCGGAGGAGGAGGAGGAGGAGGATGATGATGATGATGATGAGGAGGAGGAGGAGGCGGAGGCGGAGCGGAGGAGGAGGAGAGGGGAGAGGAGGAGGAGGACGTGGAGGAGGGGGAGGAGGATGATGAGGAGGAGACGGAGGCGGAGGCGGCGGAGGCGGATGAGGAGGAGGTGGAGGAGTATGAGGAGGAGGAGGAGGAGGAGGAGGAGAAGGAGGAGGAAGAGGAGGAGGAGGAGAAGGCGGAGGAACTCGTAGTCGTGTTTGTTTCGCAGGGGTGCCGCGGAAAGCAATAATCAGTTACCTCGTGTTTATGGGACCCCGTCCTTCAATCTGGCCGCGGGACAAGTCATTATTTACCCCCTATGGGGGGGGAGTATCTGAAGACCATCCGCGGTTACTGTTGGGAACGCTGTGCAAAGGCATTCTGCACTCGAGTCTAGTGCTATCACGTTAGTAGATAATCGCAACAGCGAGCTAACTCAGCAACGCGATCCTGCTGTAACTGCGTGATCTCATTTCCGGCGCGAAGCCGACGAGATCATACCCTGCATCGAAGACATATTAAGAACCATGGCCTTTCTCTAGGGAAGACTGGACAATACGGGTGGACAGTGTTCCACCAACGGCGATGTGAGTTCGATGCCAGAGTTTCTGTTCCTTGAGCTCCAACATAAGGTCCAGCCCCTCTCTGAAAAAAGGCTGAAGGGCATGAGCAGGTTCTCGCTAACTTGATTGACCAGGTTTGCAACGACAGCGACCCCCACGATGCACGCCTTGAAAAGATCCGCCTTTGGGCTGTTGCGGAGATTAGTAGTATACACACAATGTGAATAAGCGCCATCGCGAAACCACCATGCAGCTGGCGGTCAAAGCCCGACGGCCATCCCCAGCTACGCGGTTCGTTCGCACGGTAGTGCGGACACTCATTGGGCAGCAAGGTAGCGCATCCCTATCAGCGGCCAGGGGGTTGGCCGACTGGTGAGTCGTGGGTGATCACCCACCATCTTTGGAGGCGCCGCCTACTGTTGCGTCGAGGGGACCTGATGTTGTTGCGTCGCCGAAGGCCGACGCTGTTGCGTCGGGGAGACCTGATGCTGTTGCCGGAGGGGAGACCTTACGCTTGCAATGCTGCAGCGCCTCAAGATAGGGAACCATGAGTGTTCCACCACCTCCGCAGCCGCATCTTGAACGGGGGCCATCTCTGCGAACGTGAGAGCCACCTAATGGGGTAAATGGCGATCGCCCCCTCGCGCGCCGAATGGGACCCGTGAGAAGAGGAAGGACAGTTCATGGGGTGAGAGCTCCAGTCGGAACCGTTGCCCAGGTGGTGCTAGAACGCAGCCCCCTGGGCGCGGAGATAGGCGAGGTGGCGCCCCGCCGGCCCAGGGGGGGCGATGGGGGAACACCAGCAGTCCCACGGGGGAAGGCAACCGTAAGGATAGCCCCTCAAACCGTAAGAACAGGCCAAGTACTGGTCGTAGTAGCAATTTCGTACCGTGGCCCCCCAGTGCATCTATAGACGTAGACCGCTCATTCGCGGCGTTCCTTATCCGACGCGTGGGGGGCGCTTGGTGGTCTTAGGGGGGTCCGCTGGACACGTCTGCGATGTCAGTGAGCTCAATGCTGCTTAAATGGACCAAGAAACCGAAGCGTGGCGCCTTCCGATGGCCGGTCTCGAACTCTGAGTGACGATCGTCTTGAGTTTTTTGGTTCGTTCATCGCATAGGTGGAAGCAGCTGCTCGCGCTGTGGCGAAACGCTGGGAATGCGAGCTCACCGCGAGCGGGATCCCATGACCAATATAGCCAAGATCGCCCTGTTCCTGGATCTACATGTAGCGATGCCCATTCTGCGCCCTCGGACACGCAGTCATGTATCAGTGATGTGACTGTCTTATGGCCTGGGCGCTCTTCGTCAGCGGCGACATCAAGATGGACGTATGCGCCGTCCTTGGGGGTCTGCGGCTGTTTCTGTCGTTGAGGATATCTAGATATAGATACATACATATATATACAGAGAGAGGTGAGAAAACGAGAGAGAGAGAGAGGAGGGAGAGAGAGAGAAACAAAAAGGAAAGCGTTGTTATTCGAGCCGGGGCTTGTTTCGACCTGATCGGTCGTGGGGATCTTACTCGTAGTGAGCGATGAAGGATGTGCTGTCCAGGTGTGGATGCAGTTCTTGCCGCCGCTCAGTGGGCC